CTTCCCACCCACTTTCGATTCAGAAGATCTGGAACGAGGCCCCTGGAATCAGCGGTCCTCAAGCGCTTCCCTCGGCAAAGTCAGGTTTGGGACCATCCTAAAATTGGTTTACTTCACACGGAATGGCTAGTTCCTTGCCCATTGTGGAGAAGATAGTTCATATGATCAGTCAAGTGACACTGAACTCTTTTGCTTGAGTAGTAAACAAATATGATTGGAACACGCTTCAGTGTTCTTCAGGCACAATGACGAGGGGGCTGATGAACTTGTGGAATTAGTCCCTGATCTCCAGGACAGACCTCTCAGTTTAAAGACATGTGAAAAGTTGATGACTGAGAAGAAATCACAAAAGCCTGGACAGAAAGTTCAAGGAGTCAAGGTGGGCTTCCTGGGTGGGGATATGAGTGGGATCTGGTAAAGTGAACATGATTTGGCCATGTATTAATAGGAAAGTAGGGGGACCAGCAGATGGTGTAATGGTCATGTCACTGGACTTCCACGTAGTTGACTGTCGTTTGAGTCCTGGGCCTGGCGGCTTAAACTCATGGCAGATGCATGCGTGCATGTGTGTGTGTGTGTGTTTGTGTGTGTGTGTGTGTGTGTGTGTGCCCAAAATCCCAAAAGGAGACTGGAGGAGAACGGATTGTGGCCTGTCTGGGGTGATTTCTCACTTTCTGTCTGTCTGTCCAGCGAGCACACGCGCCCCATAGCAAAAATAAGCTCAACAGGGTTGGACGGAATTGAGAGTTCCTTCTGAGAAGTGATTAGACATAAATTTGGAAAATTTATGTCTAATTAAAATTAAAACAAGATATGGTAAACATCAGGGCCAACAGGTGGCACGGTGGTTAAGGCACTGGACACTCCCACATGGCTGACCACGGTTCAAGTCCTAGACCTGGTGGCTTGCTTTCTCACTTTCTCTGTGTCTCTCTCTGGTCAAATTATAATAAATAAATGAATAAATAAAATTAAATAAATAATTCTTTTTTAAAAAAAAAGATATGGTAAACATCAAGTGCCAAGTCAGAGTTTGGACTAAACCCTATAAACAATGGACATCCATTAGAGTTTGAAAGAAGAAACATAATGACGATGGTGTTAGTTTAGAAGGAACAACCTTCAGTCTGTCACTATACAGGTAGCAGGACAAAGAGACAAGACAATGACTGAGAAGGTTAAAACAATTGAGGGTCAGGAAAAGGTGATAACGAAGTAGCAGATATGCACATTTGTCGGATGAGATTGTGTCATGGGTCAAGCTGAGTGATTTGGAGCAAATCGCCTAAGAACTCTGTGTCTTAGGTTTGTTCATTGGATAGAGTTAAGATGATAATGCTCACCCCACAGACTGAGTTAAAATAGAGTGGGGCCAGCAGGTGGCATGGTGGTTAAGGCGCTGGACTCCCACATGGCTGATCAGGGTTTGAGTCCCTAATTCAATGACTCGAAAATCATGTTGGGCGCATGTGTGTGTGTACCCCAAATCCCAAGAGGGGAATGGAGAAGAGATTGTGGCATGCCACCATTCCCTGGCAGATGAGTTCTCACTTTCCCTCTCTGTTTCTCTCCTGTGACTGCACACACCCTATGACAAAAACCTAAAAATAATTAAATGAAAATAAACATAATTTCTATAGGATGACAAGAGCTCTGGATGCAAAGTGAATAGGTCAGTATTTCGAGTTTGTTTTCAGAGCTGCATGACCTAGAAAATGTGAGTGTTATGAATAGCAAAATGGACGCCAGTGGGTCTCCACTTTGTGGAAGAATGCAACAAGGAAGGAAGTTAATACTTAGTGTTCCAGGAATTTGGCTGGAATTATAAAGGAATTACTCTTCACCACACTCACATGAGGGAGGCTTTTTTTTTTTTTTTAATGTCCAAGTAACACTTGACATAACTCGAATAAAAGATAGTAATTTGAGTTTGGATATAAACCAAGATTTGCTAAATCTAAAACTTGGGCTTTTCCAACTATGTGTGTTTTATTTTTATTTTTTTTTTTTTTGGAGAGGTTTTTGCTATAGGGCACGTGCGCTCGCCAGACAGACAGAGAGAGACAGAGAGACAGAAAACAAGAAACACCCCCCAGGGGGTATGGCCACGCCGCAATCCCTTCTCCTCCATTCTCCTCTTGGGATCTTGGGCGTGCACACACACACGCCCGGCGTGAGTTTAAGCCACTGGGTCTGGGACTCGAACCGCGGTCGACTACGTGGGAGTCCAGCAACACAGCCATTACGCTAACTGCTGGTCCCACTATGTGTGTTTTAGACTTGTAAAGTTACATTCTATTTTATTCATTTAGGACTACATTTTAGTCTTTTGAGACTATTCTAAATTTTGATTCTGACATCTATCAAATGAATTGTCCCTCAAAACTCTGGGTCATGAAAGAGGGATAACACTTTTGCTGACATGGGGGAGAAAGATGGAGGATGTTTTGCAGGGGAGAGCGGGTGGCCCTGATCCACTCTTGTCTATCCGCCCAGAGCAGACACCGGTTATGAGGTGCACATCATAGCACTGGAATTGTTCAGCTGCTAAGAATGAGAGTGCAGACAGGTGCCCGGCAAAGACAGAAGGGAGCCAAGAACCAGGGATGGAGGCAGTGAGAAGTAGCGGGGTGGTGTGGGTGGACTAAATACTTTCACTATTTTGTGGAAACAGAGGGTGGAGGTGACAACAGCAAGGGGAGAGTTGCCTACTCAGCTCTCCTATTCCTCTGTGGGAATCCATGGCAAAGGAAACCATATGGAATGATGACTTAAGACAGGTTAGGAAATAGGGAGAAAAGTTATCTGAGGAGTGCAAAGGTTCCAGTAAAGGAAAGAAATTAGGATGTTAAAAAAAGCCAGGGTTGAAGCCAGCAGGTGGCATGTGGCTGGGATGCTAGACCCCCACAAGGCTGACTGCAGTTCAAGTCCTGGACCTGGTGGTTTGCTTTCTCACATTCACTTTTCTCTCTCTCTCTCTTGCTGGTCAAATTTTTTAAAAATAGTAATAATAAATTCAAATTAATTAAAAAAAAAGTCAGGGTCAGGGACAGCAGGTAGTGCTGGACTCCCACATGGCTGACCACAGTTCAAATCCTGGACCTGGTGGCTTGCTTTATCACTTTCCCTCTTTCTTTCTGTGTCTCTCTCTGTTCAAATTAAATAATAATAATAATAATAATTTAACTAAACAAATAATTCTTTTTTAAAAAAGAATTATTTAATTTTATTCATTGTAATTATTTATTTCTTTTATTTTATTGAAGTTGATCAGAGAGAGACAGAGGGAGAGAATGTGAGAAAGCAAGCTGCCAGGTCCGGGACTCGAACCACAGTCAAGCATGTGGAAGTCCACCCACCTTAACTACCACGCCACCTGCTGGCCCCATAAATAATTCTTAAAAAAAAAAAAAAAAGAAAACAAGTGCCCTAATAAACACTGGTGAATGAATATTCATAGAAGTAGTATTCATGATAGCACTAAAGTGAAAACCTACAAAAGGTGTATCATCTGATAAATGGGTCAAGTTTTTTTTTTGAGAGGATTTTGCTATAGGGTGCATGTGCTTGCCAGAAAGAGAGAGACAGAGAGAAATCACCTCCCAGTGGGGGTGTCCCCATCACAATCCCTTCTCCTCCATTCTCCTCTCAGGATCATGGGCACACACGCACTCATACCTAGTGTGAGTTTAAGCCACCAGGTCCAGGACTCGAACTGCAGTCGACTACATGAGAGTCCAGCAACACAGCTATTACGCCAACTGCTGGTCCCAGTCCCAATTCTTTTAATTATTTTTTTAAGAGAGGTTTTTTTGCTATCCTGTGCAAGCGCTCGCCAGATAGACAGGGAGAGACAGGGAGAAAGTGAGAAATCACCCCATAGAGGGAAGGCCACGCTGCAATCCCTTCTCTACTCTCCCCTCAGGATTTTGGGTATGTGTGCACACGCGCCGAATGAGTTTTAAGCCGCCAGGTCCGGGACACGAACTGCGGTCGTCTACATGAGAGTCTAACAACATAACCATTGTAACATCTGCTGGCCCTCCAAATTAATATTTTTAGAGAGATAGGGTGCCTGTGCTCACTGGAAACACAGAGAGAAACAGAAAGCAAGAAATCACCCCCTGGGGGGATGGCCATGCTGCAATCCCTTCTCCTCCATTCTCTCAGGATTTCAGGCATGCACACACAAGCGCCCAGTGTGAGTTTCAAGCCTCTGGGTCCTGGACTCAACCACAGAGGGCCATGTGGGAGTCCAGCGACATAACCATTATGGTTTAGCCATCTGTTGGTCCCTATAGAGAAAAATGTTAAAAGCCATATATGTACCATGAAAAGCATGAGCATTTACCACAAGGATAACTTCCCATTTTTATCTCTACTACCATGTACCCACAAAAAAAGTTGTCCCAACCATCTAAGTTTCCTTTCGACTAGGTTATTTAGGAGTTTAGGGTATAAAGTAAAATGTTTAACCTTTCACACAAATGGAAGGATCACATACTTGGGTGACAAGTATGTTACAGAAGCAGTGCTTCTAGAGATACTCAACAGACGTTAAGACCACATTTCAATAGGAGGGACCCCAACCAGGGGTAGGTTTCTTCTGAGAAGAACCCACATTGCTCAGGAGTCAATGTGGACAGGGGAGGCCCCCTGTTCTGGTTGAGGATTTCTGCCCCGAAGTGGTGCTGACATCTAGTTTGGAGAACACAGGAAGTCACATCCATCGCCATCTTTTGCTCAGACGATGGGATAATTCGAAGTCCTTCCTGGCTCGGTTATGGAATTACCCGGCTTTGAGCTGTGGTATGAGCCCAGTCTTAACACTGTCCACGCTGTTCCCCCGTCGCTGTCACTACAGGAAGCTGGGTGGCTATTTGTGCTGCCAAAATTTATATTTAATCTGAATATTTCAGAGTCAATTACGAGTTAATTTCAAACGAATGGGAGTAACTATTTCAGACTACATGTGAAAACAATACTATTTTAGAGCACACCTTGGCCGTCCAGATAGGTCAACGAAGCCTTCCATTCTCTTCTCGATTTGTCCTTTCAAAGTCTAAGGGGAGAGTCAGTCTTTGTCAAGATGAGTTGGTTAAAGGGTTTGAAGAGAGAAGCCTAGGGGGCTTTATTTTAGAAACGGTTTTTAAAGACACACACGCAGGTAAGCGGCCGCTGCCAGGGGCTGAGTCCCAGGGCCTGCAGGTGTAGCGGGGGTCGAGACTCACTCCGGTTTCTCTCAAGTCTGCGCTGATTTTCGGGGCCCCCTCCCACCCTGACTTTCTTATCTATGGGTCGGGATATTGTTCCTGGTTCGTGTCGTGGCGGGTGCTGGGAGCACCTGGCGGGTGCTGGGCCCGTCAGCCCAGGGGTGCACCGGGCAGGGCACGGGGTGCTCGGCGCGCTTTCTCCTCTCCGGGGAGAGGGTCCGGAGTGGCGGGCGGCCAGGCCCTGCAGGCGGCCCCGGGCGGGGC